CATATTAAATATAAACAATTCAATAAAAGATCTCATGTGGTTAAAAACACATTTCATGTGACTAAAAAGGAGTGGGAGATTTACTGGAAGCATGTAAAAAAGAAGTGAATTGGTATAAACATTTCGGAGTTTATAAGGGGTCTTTCACCTGTACTGGCTCACATATTTCACAACCACCCTCTTAGGCATGTATCTCCCCTCTATTCATGAAGAAGGTAAGAGTAAAAACACTGGGTGAAGGTAACAAATCTAACACAAAAAACAGGCTTTGATCCCAGGTAACCTGAAATATTCAGTCCATCTACATACATATTTTTAAAAAATTCACCAATCCCCTACCATTTTAGTGCCATAGTTTTAACACACTAAAATAATATGGAATTACTGAGAAGTTGTACACATAGTAGCCAAGGGACTTGTCATTAAGTTTTCTTGGAGACTGATGACTTTAAAAGTTAAGTTCAGGAATTCTTTGCTTAAAAGTAAATCTTAGGCAGACGGATAAACAACTATAACAAAGTATAACTATGGAAATTGGCGGGGGGAGGGACCAAAGACATCTGACGTTCAGAACTACAGTTTGAAAATCACTAATTTCATCCAAATCCCTCATTTTTCAGGTGAGGATACTGAAGTCCAGAGGGGTTTCTTGAACTGCCCAAGGACACATCACTATTTAGTGACACAGCTGGGACTAAAACTGAGGTCCCCTGACTCCTGGTCCAGAGTTCTTTCTACTATCCCACAAGGAACACACAAATAAAAGTTGATTATAATTAACTCACAAGACCTCCACAATGTGTCTGTCATAGTGAACTTTGTTGTGAAATATCTGTCTATGCCGACTCACAGTTTAGCTGTAAAGAGCTGGGCTCTGGAATTCAAACACAAGCTCTAACACTTACCAGGTGACCTTGGGCAAGTCACATCACCTCCCTGCCTCAGTTCCCTCATCTTTAAAAAGGAGATTAAAAATACTCCTCTCATAGGTGACATCAAGTAATGTATACAAAGCACTTAGGACAGTGCCTGGTACCTAGAACGCACTCAGCTCATGATGATGACGATGATGATGAAGAATCCAAGCAAAAGTATAGCTTCTTGAAAACATATCACAAAGTACTATTATTAAACACATATACTCTCAGGGGAAGAATATTATGATTAGGAATAGTCTTTTAAAGATTCAGAAACAAGTAATATGAATAAAGTAAAATATAAAGGATTCAGTCATAAAACTGCTATAGCATTTGAAATAGCAAAAGTACACTTCAAGATTTTTAAATAGTTTATATTTATATAATATTTTATATTTACTGCCCTATGAATTCAATGAACACAGCAGTTTTTCAGCAACTAGTATATACTATAAGCCAGTTAGCATGTTATTTTAATATTCATAACCTTATTTAACCTTCAATATCCACTATCAGTCAGATTCTATCAGAGGCAGTAGTATAATGCAAGAAAAACTTACAGATCCGTTCCAGAAAAGTAAGAGATTCATCAGTATCACCTATTAAGCGTGAATGACACGTTTGGATAAATGAGATGGAGCATTAGTCTGGAACACATCAGGTGCCCATGGAAACGCTGGTTCTCCCTTAGCAGTAGTATGGAGTTGTTTTGTACCGGGAATATACTGTAACCAGATCAATATAGCACCATTACTGGGGCGTACAGTATTATTTGTCAAAGAGAATGATCTTAGGTAACAGTGTCTATTACACTCTATGCTGTTTCACAAATTAAAATATGTGTAAACAGTTTTTGCAGATTTACTGGAGGTAGTCGGTAGACAAGTTGAGAGGAAATCAATTAAATAGTTAAATGTCTGTAAAACAACACAATTTACGTAATTCTCATCTGAAGCCTCCAGCGATCCTGGAAGGAGGTGGGATAAGGTTAGGTACTAATTCCGTTTTACTGATGAGGAAATTGAGACTCAGAAAAGTTAAATACCTTAACTGAAATCACACAGAGAGAATCAGGGCAGAAAAGGGCTACATCTAGATTCTGAAATTAGTTTTAAGTGCTCTTTGCACCTATCCACAGTGTATCTCAGAACATTAATATCTCTCCAGATCCATTATTCAATAAACTTAAGGCTAGAGCAGCCAATATTTATTGAGTACATACTTCTTATGTGCTTCGCTGCACCCAACACACATCACATGGGTTACTTCATTTAACCCTCAGCAGTAAGGAATCAAACCAAATGTGTTTGACTCAATAAAATATTTTATCCACTACAGTATAAATTCAATTAATACAATAAAACATTAAGTTGAATTATTTTTCTTTACTATTTAGGTGAGCCATCAGCAAAACCAGTCTTTAATATAATAAGTAGATTTCTAACTAATTTCACTATCCAACCTCACCATAAAGTAAAACAAGCATTATTTTCAACAAGAATACTCAATGTTCTGATTTAACTGGCATGGCCTAACTTTCTTTGCAGATTCCTACACCAAAAATCAAGAGAGAACCAAAAATCAAGGTGCCCAAGATTTCTATCCAATTATATGGAGAAAAGTAGAAAATTTTAATTACCTGTGGCTTAAATGGACAGGTCACTTGCTGGCCTTATTCCAGATAGCTCATCTGTTATTTAAGCACATAAGCAATAAAGTTGTCACTACTTTAAAGCAAGTACATTTCTGAGGCTGCAGTACGTTTAATCCTCCTAAAATCATATATTCCAAATTTCAACAAGCCTGAAAGGAGGGTGACCATATTATTAAGTAGACCCAACTGGAACATTTTTGAAAATGGAAGGAGTTCTATTAAGAATTATCCTGAGACAAACAGACTCTAAACCATGACTGCCCCAGAAAAAGCAGGGTATATATACATAAGAGCAACCCATTTTGATTTGTGTGTTATGGGCTGCTCTCTGTATATGCTTAATTCGTGAGCTTTAAGATTTTGTTCCAGATCCAAGGGTTATCATCGGCCTTGAGACCAAGAGTACCACTTCACAATCAGGCCAGAGTTAAGGGTGTGTTATCTATAAACAAAGGGTTTTTTTTTTTAGTTTTTCTTTCGAACTTAACTTTATAAACATTTGCTTGAAAAAACCACTCTATGTATTTCAAAGAAAGCAATCTTGCAAAATATCGCCAAATTTCAGACTTATCTCTTCAAAAGTTTTGAATACCAATAACCACAAAACTACCTCTGAAATGGCCCAATGCTCAGTTTTCTACTATAATTTATCAAATTGTTTTTTATACAAAAAGTTAAGGAAAAAGCACCATCTTTCAAACTGAAAAAACTCAGGAGTAAAAGAGTTGAAAGGTTTTCACTGAAAACTAACTAAAGTGATAAAAGATAGTGGAAACCCACAGTCACGAAACAGTACAATGATTAAAGGAAACTCCACTTAGTGTTATTATGACTCTCCAAACAAATCTGCCGTTAGCCGTACAACCTAGGAGTCAAAAGAATGCTTTGCTTTAATTTTCAAGCTGTAAGTAAGTATTAACAGACCCAAGCTTTGAACTACAGTATGTGAATGAAAGGCATTATTTGAATATAATTATAATTCCCTAAAGCAACAAATGTTCTAAGAGTTGGCTTCTCTGACTTAAAACTCAACAAAATCAAGAACTGGAAAATGTCTCAAAGGCTAGATTCTAGACCTATGCTGTCCAATAAGGCAGCCACTAGCCACATGTGACTATTTATAATTAAGTTAATTAAAATAAAATTAAAAATTAAATACCTCAGTGCACTACTAGCCACACTTCAAGTGCTCAAGAGCCACTTGTGTCTAGTGGATACCATATTAGGACAGCACAGATTACAGAATATTTCCACAACGATAGAAAGTTCCATTGGACAGGGCTGCTCTAGACCTAGGCTGCTCTAGATCTTTTCTTGAATATTCCCAGAGGTAAGAAACTTGCAATAGCACAATGAAGTGCACTTTATTTTTGCAAAGTAGTAACTATCAGGAAATTATTCATAACATTCAGTGAAATCCAGCCTCTCTAAAACATCCACCAGAAATTCCACAAGTTCCATCCTCAATTTGGTCTTCAAGTAAATCTTTACAGAGGTAATTTAATTCTGTTTCCAAAGTTCTGTCCTCACATATAGTAAAACCCTACGTCCTCTCCTCCTAGATAAATACATCCTCATTTCTCTGGAACAAAAGAGTTTAAAGTTTCTAAAGCCTCACGGAGTTAAGCTCATTTATCCACGTGTACGTTAACAACACATTTCCAGGATCGCCTCTGAGTGTCAGATATTACATTCCACTGCCCCTATAAAAATCCACACCAGTTTCTTGATTTTTCCACTTAGAAAGCCAGGTCACAGTCATTCTGAAATCCTTAAACAGGGAGATAAAAATGACAGGTAATTGATCAGTGCCTGGAGCTTGTTATAAGCATTAACCTGTATTACCTCATTTAATCCTCACAATTCTGATCTAGGTTATTACTATCCCCATTTTACAGACCAGAACACCCAGCCAAAGACACGCTAAATAATTTCCCCAGGGGTCACAGATGTGGGCTCACCCCAGAGGGAAGGGAGTCGATCTTTTCCTTTTCCTGGACGCTACACTTCTACTAACGCTACCTAACTCTTCTTCCACCTCGCCCATAAAGCTACAATTTCCTTGTTTAAGAATTCTTCCCCCCAAAACACGACCTAGATGACACGCGGAAGGTGCTTCTGAACACACCCAGCGACGCCCGCTCCCGCTCGCCCTCCCAGCTCCCCTGGCCCCACGCCCACCCGCCTACGGGGAGGAGTCAAGGTCAACTCCACACGCCGCGGGAGAACCCGGCCGACTCGCGGGGGCCACCGCCTCGGGAGACGCTGCTTCTGTGTGTCCCTCAGCCTCCCGCGCTAACGACCGGGACCCCCGACGGCAGCTCCCGGGGGCAGAGGGGCGGGGCCCAAACACGCAGGGCTCGGCGCCTCTCCCGGCCCCCAGCCCTCTCCCCCGCCCGCCCCCGCGCCTCCCCCGGTCCCCCTACAACCTCTGTTCTAAGAACACTTGTAGACCCGGCTGCGCGTCCCGCGTGGAGAATGTGGGGATAGAGATGGTGCGGTTTCTGCGGCGGCGGCCCGGGACACGCTTGGAAAGGGGCGCGGTAGGGGGCTGAGAGAGTCTAAAGGGAAAGGGTGGCTGGGCGCGGACGGGGGGGCAAGATGGCGTGAGCCCGACTCTCTGTGGGGCGGGGGTGGCGGAGGTGGAGGAGGGAGGGCTACAAACACCCCCGCCACTCCCGACGCGGGCGCTGGCGCATGCGCGCTCGGCCAGGTGGCGCGCGGTCTCTTTTTTCTAGGCAGCCACTTCCGCCACGCTCGCTGGGGGCGGGGCGTCGCGGAGCGCGACAGTCGCCGCTTTCCTTGCGGCGTTGGTGCGGGCGGTGCGGACGGTGAGGGCGGTGAGGGCTGCGCGGAGCCGGGGGCGGGCGACCCTGAGCCACGCTGCGGCCCTTAGAGCGGGGGCTGCTGGGAGATGAGTGGGGATGAGCTGAGAATCGGAGTGTGTTGAAGGCCATTCTTGGACTGCTTAAGAATGAGCTGAGAGGACTAGGGTTTTCGAGGGACTTAGTGAACGAGGCTGGAAGTTTGTTTTCAGCTTCAGGGCAGAGATTGACCTCTGTAAGTCTTGTCCGCAGTAGGGGTGAACCGGGATCTTACCCGGACGATGGAGGGAAACGGAGACATCAGAAAGGCCCTCCTCCCCCAAAGGACCGCGGTGCTGGGGTATGGATATGCGACCCTTTCTGGGACCGTGAAACACCCCCTCTTACGCCGGCCCTCGCACATCACCGCTCCCCATCCTTCCCCTGCGCAAAGTCATTCCAGAGGCAGTGGGAGATGATAGTCTGCAGCGAATTTTTCCCTCCTATTCATTTTACCAAGCTCAAGCATTTAATGACCACGTTTTTATTGAAAACTATTTGCTATTTCAAGACTTCTGAATGGATGATTCTATATTTATTTTTCCTTAGAATTTTAGCCTGCTTCTCCTTATTTTAAAATCTTGCACTCCCACTTTTGAGCTGTACATCCTGTCCTCTCAGAATTGATTGATACAGATGTATTTCTTTAAATAATACAGTCATAAGACAGTGATTTCAGTTGCTTTCATTATTTTACGTGGTCTTGTTATTTATATTTTTAACATTCTTTTCAGCTGCTCAGGAACAAAAACTTACCCACTTAAGTCCATGCCTACGACGTCAAGTATTATATTTCAGAGATTCAACTACTAACCCTCATCAAGTCTTTTTTAAGCATTATTACTTCATTTATTTTCTTGCCTCTATGAATATTTGTGTTCTGAAATAATCCCTTCCTATTCACTTACACTGTTTAAAATAGCAACTTATTTGGTTATTTCGTCTGTGGATTGTAGTTGAGTTTCTTGTTAATTTTGTTTTTAGCTCTCCTTTAATCTCCCCAACACTTAAATACTTGCCAAATAAAGTTCCAAAAGAATAAATTTGTTTACGATGTAAAAGCTCACCATAATGTGTAAATCAGGGCTCAGTCCACTGATGGGCAAAGTGTATAGGGGAAGAAAGTAACAGTGAGAGAGAATCGTCATAATTTCTTATGAAGGAAGACTGGTTTATACAATAGTTGAAAAGCCCTTTCAAGTACATTAGCAAGAAAACAGAAGAAAATTAAGAAAAATATTAATAGTACGTCTAAGGAAATATAACTGGAAGGAGATCCTTTCAAGTAAAATTATGTTCAGTCAGTGTTGCCGTACTGATATTTTCATTGGACTTTTACCTGCATCACATGGAGGCCAGATTTGACCTAGTTTTTCGGGACAGAACCCAGACCTTACTCTCAAGCCACTGGTGTCTAACCTACATATAATCACACACAGCAGGAGTTAATCAAAGTGTGCCATGGAGAAGGGAAACCGAGTTAAACAGGCCCTGGTAGAGGGAGCTCAAAATTTCACTCTTAGGAAATTGTGAATTTTGCTGTTGGCGGAGATCTTAGCTTTGCAGTCCCATGAGTTATCTTAGTGTTCCTACCTCCTGGAATCTGTTAAAATCTATTTTAAAAATTTGATTTAGTCATAATTTTGTTTGTAGTTTGAGAGCACTCCTGCCCACAATGGGTCAAAAATATTCTCCATTCGATTAATATCAAAGATCCTAAATTATCATTGCTACTAAGAGATCTTCATTATAACAAAGCTAAAGCAATGGTGCTGAAATTAAGACATTGATGACTACCACCTCTCAGAAAAACACGTGATTTCCAAAGCATGTGGAAAAAACACATTAGGAGACCAAGTGAATTCATCACACCACAAAAATGTCTTCATCCCTTGAACAAAGCCATTAAAGGAAAATGAAGCATTGTTACTGTAGATTTTTACATTCCTCTGGTATAATAACCTTCATATAGACTGACTAATGAAAACAGAAAGGGTACATATCTAAGCAAAAATGCCTCTGGGCATCTTAGAAGACGACTAGATTAGATAATTAAAGAAGGCTTAATCCTCCAAATAATAGCAGAAGCCATGCCTAGTATGGAGCCATCTCTGTGATAAAGTGGTTTCTTCTCCTGTGGATGCCATGCAGACAGTTTACTCCAGGTGACCTGCAAATTCTTACTCTTTTGTGCCCCATGACTGTCATGTATTAGGATGCTTGTGGAGGCTTTTTCTTTTCCTATTTATCAATTATTTCACCCTTTGCTATATTTGCTATTCTAATGTTTAAATAGTCACCATGGAAATAAAACAGGTAGAACTGAATATTGTTTAGAATTGCATATTGATATTGTTGCTATATTCAGTTAATTTCCTAATATTAAGAACTCTTTTTCAGTTGCAATCTCAGAGGTATCTTGTTTTATCTTTAGAACGAGGAGTTCTGACCAAAACAATTATTCAGCTCTGTGGTACCTGGGCAAGTCATTTTATATCATGGGTCCTCAGTTTTCATATCTGTAAAATGAGGTGATCAAATCAAATGAAATAAAACCTGTAACCCTAAAACTCTATGATCCTTTAAAGTAGGAATAACCAAAAGATGAATCTTAAAGGTGTACAGAATAATTTCAGCATTTATATTTATGCTACCAAAAATTATGTGACTATGCAGGACTCTTGCTTTAGGCCAACTTGGATCAACTGATGTTATGTATTTCAAAAGAAAGCCCAACATGAAAAGATATATATTAATCAAATTTATTGACACACTGGAGGGAGGGTGTATCACATAACTGTTCAGAGTTTAATCAAATTGGCTTCCCATACCTTCCAATTATATTCATATGTTTTGAAGTAGGAAGAGCAACACAGTGGTGAGAGAAGAAATGCTAAGAATTGCAGCACTGAGCAGCTTGTAGAACTATAATCATGAACCATCCTCCTAGGAATCTCTCATCGCAGGTTTAACACTCCAGGATCTTTTAAAATTAGTGCTTGGCTGCTAGAAAATGATCATTTTTGAGACTTAGATGGGAAGGGAATCATAGAATATCAGGGTTTCATGGGGCCCCTGAACTCTCTAGACATATGGAAATTTAGTTGCTCCCATTCCTATAGAATCTAATATATAATACCTCTTGTACTGGAAACGAACAACTTTTACATTTCTCCCCTTGAAAATAAGGTCTATTTGCTGAGTGTTAGTGATAGGTGCTAATTATTTCGTTCATTCGACAATTATTATGATGGGCCTACCATGTGCCTGACACTATTCTAGGAGCTGCAGATATAGCAGTGAACAAAACAAAACTCCATGCCATCATCAACCTCACATTCTAGAAGGAGGAGTTGCACAATAAAATAAATACCCAAATTGTGTAATATGTTAAAAGGCTATGAGTGTTAGAGGGGGAAAATTTTGTACAACAGGGATGGGATTATGGAATGCGAATAAGCAGGAGGAATAGGAGAACTGTGATATTTGTAATGGGCAAGCAGGGTAGGGCTCACTGAGGAAGTGGCATTTGAATAATGACTTGAGGAAGAAGGTAGTTGTAGATATCTAAAGAAAGAGCCTTCCAGACAATGAGACCAACCCGTGCCAAGGCCCCGTAGTGGGAAGGGGGCTGGTAAGTTGCAGGAGTGACCAAGAGGCCATTTTAGCTGAAGAATAGTGACCCAGAAAGAAGATAGAAGAGGTCACAGAAGAACTAGGAGACCAGATGGTGGAAGGTCTGTGTGCCTGGGACTAGGAGGCTATTAGCAGAGAATTGACATGATGTGGTTAAGGGTTTAAAATGATTACTGTGGCTGCTGGGCTGGAAATAGTCTTTAGAGGCACAGAGAGTAACCAGGCAAGAGATGACGGTAGCTTGTATTAGGGTTGTTACAGTAGATTCCATGAGACGTGGTTGGATTCTGGATATAGTTTGAAACTCATTGTGATTTACTGACAGATTGGATTTGGGATTCTAGAGAATGAGAGGAATCAAGGATGACTCTCAAGGGTTCTAAGAAAGTGGAAAAATGAATTTTCCATGAACTGAGATGGAAAGGACTGGGGATGGAGTATGTTGGGTGGGTATAAGAGATCAAGAATCCAGAGAATTCCCTGGCAGTCCAGTGGTTAAGACTCTGCACTTCCAGTGCAAGGACCGCAGGTTCCATCCCTGGTCAGGGAACTGAGATCCCATATGCTATGTGGCCGCGGCCAAAAAAAAAAAAAAAAAAA